CTTAAGAAGCCACCTCTTGACCCGTCTTCACCTTCCAACCATTGTCCCATATCCCTGCTCCCTTTTCCTCAAAGCTTCTAGAAAGACTTTACCCATTTGGCTTGCTTCCTCAATTCCAACTCTCTCCTCAACCCTCTTCAATCTGGCTTCCACCCACTCCACTCTATTGTGACTACTCTGATTAAAGTTACAAATAACCTAATCAAAGACCTCTACTCCATACTAATTCTTCTTGGCCTCTCTCCTGCCTTTGGGACTGTTGATCATGTCCTCCTCCTCAAAACTCTTCAATCCCTCTGTCTCTGTTGCACTATCCTCTTGTGACTCTCCTAACTCTCCCAACATTCATTCAGTGTTATTATTAAAAACAATTAAAATCAATTAGAGCAAATAAATACCTAGTTAAACTGCTATACACATAAACTCTCTCCCTCCCCCCCATAGTTTACACTTAAAATACCAAATCAGTATAAGTGCTTAGTAGATCAACCCTATTCAAAAGGTTAGGGGTATCATAAATCTTAAAATCAAATACTTCGTAGTACTTGGTAATAAATGATAATGTAGACTGTGATAATGTAGATAATGTAAAATAGAAATGTTGGAACTCAACAGCAGAAATTTGTATGTATGTACCTCTTTAAGAAAATTTCACAAAATAAATGGTTTGCATGCAGTTTACCTCCAGTAGTATTACTGATACTTATATAATATTTCCTCATTTGAATAGCAGAGTAAGCAAGCAGTTCGTTGCACAGGAACAGTTTATTATAGAATAGCCAGGACAAGTAAAAAAGTGCACGTTTGTAGATGCAGAACATATCATGAAGTCTTTAAGCAGTAGAAGTGAGAGCCCAGTTTAGCAAGCAACTTAGGTTAGAAGCAGGTTTCGGAGTCTCTTAATAATTTCTAGGTTATAGGATTAATTGGAACTGTTTACCTTAAAAGGAATGAGGAATGAACAATCCCGTTTGGTGTTGCTTTAGGCTTGATAAGGAATTTCCTTAAAGAATAGTCATTTTCAATCCAGATGCAAGGGGCAGGAGAAGGCAGCAAGGTTGTTGGTAATCCAGTTCCAAGGGGCTGGAGAAGTCAGCAAGGTTGTTGGTAATCCAGGTCCAAGGGGCTGGAGAAGTCAGCAAGGTTGTTGGTAATCCGGGTCCAAGGGCCAGTAGAAGTCAGCAAGCTTGTTGGTAATCTGGGTCCAAGGGGCAGGAGAAGTCAGCAAGGTCATTGGTAATCCAGTTCCAAGGGGCAGGAGATGTCAGCAGGGTCAGAGAATCAAGCAGAGTTTGGTACACAGTATTTAAAAGTAGTTGGGAGCTTTAGCCGGCACTTTTTGTCCGGAAGGAAACAAAATAACTCCGCGTCTAACTCGTGGAGGGACTTCCCTATAAGGCAAGGGAAGATCACGTCACAAAGGGGGTGCAGATTCTGATCGTCGCAACTCAGAAGTAACTCTGAGGAATTGCGGATCTGTAAGTCTTGATAGGTAGTCAGCAAGGTTGAACTATGCGCATGCATTGGAACACAGTAGTTTGCCCGCTGCTACCAGGCTTTTTCAACATTCTTATATAGAGCATGTCTGCAATTTCTTAAAGTGCCCAATTCCAAAATAAATCTGTTTAAACAGGCACACTCGCAGCTTACATCTTGAAAAAGCCCGGTAGCAGCGGACGAAAAGCATTGAAGCACGAGCGGTTTTCTGTCCAGGCTCCCAGGACTCTGTAGCGGCATCCGACTCTGGCATTCTTTTGAAATGGGGATTAACAAACCTGGATTTATGCGAACAGACCGGTCGGTCCATAGCATGAGAATGGGGCAGTAATATTGTATTCTTATGATTCTTGGAGACAAGCACCACAATATTTTGATGTAAGAATTTCTGTTGGGAAGGGAGGTTGTTTCTAATAAATAACAGTGTTACACTTTATTGATCTTTTGTATCTCTTACGGTATTCGCAATAATATCTACCTAACTGAACATAAGATATACTTTTTTTATACCTCATTTTGTCCATTCAACCTTGCTGACTACCCTTCTAACTGAATATCCAAGGACTCTACATTATCATTTATTACCAAACACTTTTATTTGATTTTAAGATTTACGATACACTAACCCTTTGTGAATAGGTCTACTAAGCAATTAACCTTATTTATGGTATTCTCTCTTTATACTGCCTCTCTTGGCAAACTCATTAATTCCTTTGGATTCCGCTACCTCCTGTATGCTGATGACCCCCAAATATAGCTGTCCTCCCCTGATCTCTCCCCCACCGTCCTACAACATGTAACCGCTTGCCTTTATTCCATCTATGATTGTATCTCCTCCCACTTTCTGAAACTCAATCTCTCTAAAACAGAGCTTCTTATGTTTCCTCCTCCTAACACTTTCCTAATCTTTTACTTTCCCTGCAAGTTGATGGTGCCTGCTGCAGCCTCTGTCTTGGTGTTATCGTTGATCATGGCCTCACTTTCTTGCCTCATATCAAGTTTGTTGTTAAAACCTCTCAGCTTGAACAAGCTCTGGTAATTTCTGGAATGGATAACTGTAATTCTCTCCTACTTGGTTTCCCCAGAAGCCGTACTGCCCTGCTACAATCTGAAGTGAATGCTGCCACCAAGTTGATCTTTCTCTTCTGTTGCTCCTCTCATACCTCGCCCCTCTGTCGATCCTTACACTGGCTTCCTTTATCCTTTATCCTATAGGTGTCAATTCAAAATACTTACCTGTAAGGCTCTAAACAACTCAAGTCCCTATTAGATTTATTCACTGATTTGTAGGTGTGGCCCTTCTTGGTCTCTCTGCTCTGTTGGTGACCTTCTTATGTCTACTGCTTGTACCATTACCGCTAACTCGTGCTTGCAGGAATTTTCATGGGTGGTCCCTTTCCTTTGGAACAGTCTGTCTACCCCTGTCAGACTCTCCTGAAAACCCTTCTTTTCAGAAATGCCTATGGCTTCCAAGAGCCACTTCTAATTCTCAAATCTGTCTCTTGCTCTCACCTAAAGAGCCATACTCCCCTCTCACCTCTAGTTCTGCTTTTCTTCCACCTTGTTGTTTGCTGTCCCCCTTGATGCCCTTCCTATTGTGTCTTCAGACTGCACTCCTGTAGACTGTAAGCTCCTCTAAGCAGGGTCCTCATCTATCTATTGTTCCTGTGTCATTTTGTAATTGTCTCATTTATTGTTGTATTTCTCCCTTCCATAATCCCTTAATAAGTGCTGCAGAATAAGTTGACACTATATAAATACCAATAATAATAGTCCTTTTAAGTACCATCTTACATCCTGATGTATTTGATCTCCCTTTAGTTTAGTTACTGTTAACTAAGTCATGTATGTATAACTTGTTCCAATCCAAACCACTTTCATTTTCATTCTTTTGTTTTATGATAAGACACGTTAATTGAAATATTTATATAGGCAAGGTCAAGATTGCAAAACAATTTTTATTTCTCTATGATCAAATCATAGAACAATAGATGTTTTAGTGGAGATTTTATAAGGTCCTCAACACGAAAAAGGTCAATTTTGATTACAATCAGTAGCACTCCTGGAATGATCTATCTTTCTAACATAGAGTCATTGGGGTAATTAAATTTTTATCACAAACACTAAAAAGGATATGTAAAATAATTGTGTGTTGGGAGCAGAATGAAAGAAATAACATATATTGATTTTATTACAATTCATATTCAACGGTCTCACTGGGATCCATATCCTGGTAAAAAAACACAAAATTACAAAAGAATATCACATTTTATAAAATGTGTGTACATACAATTCTGGGCTGTATAACAGATGATAACAAAACTAATAAATAAAAAAAGAAAAGATGAATAAATAGAGGACAAATAATTACTAATTGATAAAGGATTTGAAACCATATAAGAGTTTGAAAACATTTTTGGAGGATAGCTGCAGACAAGCTACGCATGTAACCCCTTAACCCCTTAAGGACACATGACATGTGTAACATTTCATGATTCCCTTTTATTCCAGAAGTTTGGGCCTTAAGGGGTTAAGGATCATAGTCTTGTACCATGCTGTGATTTAATTTGTATTCTATTTTTAGGCGGAACCGCCAGAGAACCTTCTCTGGAATTTACACCATTAAATAGAGCAAATTTACTTGTGTTAAACTTTTTTATGAGATATTCTGTTTTCTTATCAATTTTTATTAAAGATTTAGCAAATTAGAAAACGAAACAGAAACGTTGTGTCACGCTCTCTGGGACCTGTAACTCAACTTCAGGTGTAACCAAAATAGAGCAAATAGAGAAATGTGTTAGTGCAGGGGTTCTCAACGTTAGTCCTCAGGACCCCTTACCAGTCCAGGATTTGGGGATTACCTGGGTGTGTCTCAGGTGTTTAGAAAAAGGGAAAATAACACCTTAGACTCTAAGGTGTTTTTTTTTTTCTAAACACCTTAGGCACACCCAGGTAATCCCTAAACCCTGGACTGGTAAGGGGTCCTGAGGACTAACGTTGAGAACCCCTGTGTTAGTGTTTTTGAATGAAAATGATACTGTTGCAGTATTGAGTATATTTGATATCAGTGTGTATATTAGAGGTTTGCATGCAGTGATGGGAGTATACTCACAGAAAGTTCCTTAAAATGTGGTATTAGTGTTTGAACCGAATGGCAGCTCGATTTCTTTCAAAAAGTGGACTTGCATTCGTAATACATTTAAATATAATACTTAAAAGGGTAGAATACATTTTATTAAACAGACAGATATTACATGTATTAGTTTTCACACAAAAAAAGTTAAAAACCCAACAGAAAAAAAGAATTGTATAGTTTACATTTTTTTTTTTTTTTCATTGAGAAAGAAGAAACTGGTGTAGCACTGCCCCAGCTGCCCCTATGTACGAGCCTCCTCTACTTGCACGAATAGTGACGTGCAGGTATCCTCTTAATTAAATCAGCAAACAGAATCAATATCCGCATATGGTTCGTGGTCGGGACTGTAGAGCTCAACATAGTCGGTGTTCTATCAGATTCTCCTACCTTACCAGAAAGCTATACTCACGTCACTAACCAGTAAGACAAGCAGAGGTTTGGCAACATGGAGGATCAGAATTGAGATTATGTAGCAACTTTGTGTCACGCAGTGAAACAAAAAAACTAAGTGATAACTGAGTTGCACTCTGCATCTCTTTACCAATGTGGGAGAGACGTGTTACGTTGGGTCCTGGTTACCAACACATGTGGAACTGGAAGATGGCTGGAGATAAGTCATTACACATTGAACAAGTTATACCCTAAAAGGTCAAATGGTCCCACATGGGGCAAAACCATTTGCTGCAGTATGGGGTGATTTGGACTGTTCACAGTTGTGGAAAAGGCTCCAATTGAGCCTGAATTTGGTCTAGATTTCAGCCAGGTCTAAAGCTGCCAGAAGGCTATAATCTGGGCCTGGACTTTTAAGATCTGGGCCTGGATGCTTCAAATCAGGGATTTTCAGTCAGTTGTAGGATAACATTTACATTTTACATTTACTTTTTTAGATTTATCTCATCTCGCAAATACAAATCTGTTTAAGGAACAGTTTAGGCACAATAACAACTTTATCAAAATTAAGTTGTTATGGTGCCAGGAGGTCCCTTGTGTTAGCTCACCTTACGGGGTTAAACTCTCTAACGGTTTAACCCAAAGTCTTTGTTCCAGCACCAAATCTCCCTGTCACTCCGTGTTTCCTTTTTCTAAAAATCAATAAAACTGGAGGTTCTTGCAGAATCAGATAGTGGTACTGCTGATTGTCTGAGAGCAGTAGGCTGGCGATCTCAGCCAATAAGTGAATCCCCATAAATGGATTGAAGAGAAACATATATTTGGCAGTTGATGATAAACCAATCGCAAGAGGCATGTTCGCAAATGATCATTCACTTGCTTCTTCACTATATGGCACCTGACCAGTGCTTGCTAGCAAGCCTCTACATTAAACAAGTTAAATAAATAACTAAAAATACTATGGGATCAACTAGTGAATGGACAACCACTGGGGATGGCACCTGTAAAATAACAGAGAGGGAGGGAGCATAATCCCCTTATGTCCCTACCCATGGGCATCAGGTGAAGGATTGCTCCCTTCCTCTGGCCTGCACTGTAACTGTCAGGGTCGTATCCTGCCAACTATGTTTTATCTCCCTTTTATTTCTGTTCCTTTAAAACAAGTTCTGGCTCTGATTAATTTCTACCACTAGTGGCCTCACTTGCCTCTAGTTCTGAATACTCACCTGCTTGTCTTTGATTACTTCAGCTACAAAAGGCTACACCAAACTAACCTCAAGGCCTTTACACTGAAGTTGGTGATTTACCTGAATTACTTTATATCCTGGCTCCTGTGAACCTGCTCCAGATTTACCTTCAATCCTGCTCCTAACAATAACCTGCTCCAGCCTTACCTATACTTACACCCAGCCTTACTCTGTAACCAGCCTTCCACTGTTACCAGCCTGCCTTTGTTACAACCCTAACTCGAAATGACAGAAATTCTTTATTATTTGCAAGTATCCTGTTTTGTGGCATATTACCTAAATTCTGTGTTGCTTCAAGTTTCATAATATGTCTGAAATCACTAATAAAGTACCTGAAGTCAACCCTGGCATAAGTCTCCTATCTGACCTGCACAAGATCATAACAGAATGTAAAGACCTTAAACCAGAGAATTCCGGGTTAACCAACGTTCTAACAATCATTGCTGAAAGTCTCTTGGAACTATGCAAACCTGTTTCATACATGCTGCACTCCAAGCTCCTGCATATCATCTGAGAAAAAGTTAACCTCACCTTCCAGGAAAAGCAAGAAAAGAGAACCGCTAACCAAACTTGAACTAGAAAAGAGACGACAGTATGATTTATGTTATTATTGCTGTGATACAGGACATCACATTTCCTTCTGTCCAAGAAGACCTTCTAAACCTCCTGTAACCGATGACCCAAACATACAGACCTCTGAAGCTAACACTCCTTTAAACAATGACTATAACCACTGCACTTCTGATTTAACCCAAGCAGACTTACCTTCCTGTCCTCTCTCAGATGATCTCCTAAAATCTCAGGATTCAGAAGAGGGATCTGTAGAGATGGACTACGAGTCTCTGCCCTCAGAGGAATGTGTTTAGAGGAAGATTTAATAAACGAATGTCCTGAACTTATGGCTGCTACATTGACTACCTCTCCGAATATCCAATCCACAGAAAAGTGGAAAGTTCCTATGAAGAATACGGCAAAACCTCCATTTGGTGCCCCTGGTCTTGAAAAAGCCAGTGATGGTACTATCATGCCTATTAAATAACTCTGCTTATATGACAGCTATCTGGATGCTAAGAGGTATGTGGAAGCTAACCTCCCAATGACACCTCCAATCAAGTGTCAACCTGTAACCTTAGGTACACTGATGCCTACCCTGAAAAAACCTTCTGTACCTCAGACTCACAATTCTAGGTTAATGAAGAAAAACAACGAACCTATCTCTACACTAAGGGTAAAGTAAAATGTTACAACCCTACCTGGAAATTACATAAATTCTTTATTATTTGCAAGTATCCTGTTTTGTGGCATATTACCTAAATTATGTTTTGCCTCAAGTTTCTAGACATGTGCAATTAGTTTCATTTCGAATGTCATTACGGGCAATTCAGACATTCGGATACTTTCAAATGTCCGAATAGCTGAATTGCCGAAGTTCCGAATTTCCGTAGTTGCCGAAGTTCTGAAGTGTCGAAGTGCCAAAGCACAGGATTGCAAAAGTACTAATATACCCAGTGGAAGAATGAAGAATGTTACAATGTATACCAGTTTAAAAAAAAAGTATACAAACATAGCCAGGATTCAGCTGTAAGCATTTGCAATACTTACAATAATCAAGTAACACATTCATATAAAATGTAAGTTACTTATCCAGTCAATGGATGGGAATGAGTAAGTAGATAACTCCCTAATTCCCACGCTATTAGGGAGTTATATACTAAAAGGTTGAAAGACCTAAATTGGTCTTTCAGTCAAATATACTAAGTGCAGATTAGCCTGTGTCTGCTCACTGTTAAAAAACAAAAAAAAAAAAAAACGGGTCTCCCTCCCGAGCCCCCACCCATGCCGCATGAGTGAGGGGCTTCTAACTTGAAGGGGGGACCTATTGCCCCCGCTGGTCCCGACCCATGAGCGGTGGGTGGGAGCCCTAAAGTAAAATAAGGGTGGGTGACCTATTGTCCTCCCCCATAGCCCCCACCCCTGTGCGGTGGGTGGGGGCCCTAAATTAGAAAAAGGAGACCTATTGTCCTCCCACCTGGCCCTCACCCCTGAGCTGTGGGTGGGGGCCCTAAATTAGAATAAGGGGGGGACCTCTTGTCCTCCACCCGTTAGCCCCCACCCCTAAGCGGTGGGTGGGGGCCCTAAACACCAATAAGAGGGGGAACCTATTGTCCTCCCCTTGGCCCCCACCCCTGAGTGATGGGTGGGGGCAGGAGGGACATACTGTCCTCCCCCCTGGTACCCACCCCTGAGCAGTTGGTGGGGGCCCTAAATTAGAATAAAGGGGGACCTATTGTCCTGGCCCCCACCCCTGAGCAGTGGGTGGAGCCCTAAATACCAATAAGGGAGGGGACCTATTGTCCGACCCCACCCCATCCCCCTGATCCCCCCAGGTGACTAGGGGTCCCCAAACCTAGTCCCCCCCACCATTATTCTAATTTAGGGCCCCCACCCACCTCTCAGGGGTGGAGGCTGGGGTGGAGGACAATAGGTCTCCACCCCCTTATTGGTATTTAGGGACCCCACCCAAGCACCTCAACCCCCAGATGACTAGGGGTCCCCAAACCCCTAGTCACCCCCTCCCAAAAAAATGAATGAAACCCCTACCTACCTCCATCACCCAAAAAATAGGGGGGACCAATAACCAGGTACCTGTAAAAGAATAAATAAAACTTACCTTTTAATGTCTTCTTTTTTCTAAAATCTTCTTTTTTCAGCCCCAAAAAAGGCCAAATAAAAATCCATAATAACCGTCGCACTTTGGAAAAAAAAAAAGGAGGGAATTTTCCCACGCTGTGTTATTTGACTCATAACTCTCTGATTGGTTACTTGAAATCAACCAATCAGAGTGTTGTTATGAGTCAAATTACACAGCATGAAACATTTCTAACCAGAGCAGAGCTCTGCTGCTCTGGAAAACATGAATGTGGTTTTTGCTATCACTTGAATACTCTGTATAACTATGTACATATTGTCATTTTTATATTTTTTACATATGAGTGCTGTTAGTCTGAGGTTTAATAATCCCCAGTCTGAAGGAGAAAAATGTAACTATATTATTTATTTTTATTTATTAAATGTTTACAGGCATTGGATGTACATTTAGATGAACTGTAACAAAAGTTAGCAAAGTGAACACTAAGCTAGCATTGTAGCACACATTTATATTTTCCCTTAAAGAATACATGTCGTGTTCATTGGTCATTGGACTAGAAATGGAGTTTGTCACTTATTATTAAAAGAACACTGCAAGTACCATAAGAACAACAGAGCGATGTAGTGGTTATGGTGCTAATAGTATACTGGTGCCCCCTCCCAATTTTAAGTAGTCTAATTGTTCTACCTGGAGACCACCAGGCTCCACTCCCCAGCTACACTACCAAACGCTTCTCTTTAGTGCCCCTTCAATTGTTTGATTTTCATTTTCCATTTTGCAAATTTTTTTTTAGAGGGGTCCAGTAATATGTAATTGTTTAAAAAAAAAAAAAAAAGCAACAACATTTCCCTATACTTTCTAAAAAATGTTTCCATCCCTTTGAGATTTTCAAAATTTTTTGTGATAACTGCTTTCATGTTCTTTCTTCAAATTGCAAATCCATCAAATTATTTAAAGGATCACTATAGGGTCAGGAAAACAAACATGTATTCCTGACCCTTTAGTGCTAAAACTACCATCTAGCCCCCCTGGGCCCCTCATGCCTCCATAAATATAGCAAAATCTTACTGTATTTCAAGCCTGAAGCTGTAGATCTGCATGCTGTTTGCCTCAGAAAAACAAGCTGTCTGCTGACATCATCAGAAGTGGTGACCTGATCCAATCACAATGCTTCCCCACAGGATTGGCTGAGACTGACAAGGAGGCAGATCAGGGGCAGAGCCAGCATGATTCAAACACTGCCCAGTGTTTACATCAAAAAGCCTGAAGGTAATGATTCTA